TTTTGAATAGAGAATCTCATTTAATCCTCTTATCAGATAGGGTTTTTTGTTGTTTTTTGTTTGTTTGTTTGTTTATCTTGACTCACTGCAAGCTCTGCTTCCTGGGTTCATGCCATTCTCCTGCCTCAGCCTCCCGAGTAGCTGAGATTACAGGCACCTGCCACCACACCAGCTAATTTTTTGTACTTTTAGTGGAGACGGGGTTTCGCCGTGGTAGCCAGGATGGTCTCGATCTCCTGACCTCGTGATCTACCCTCCTTGGCCTCCCAAAGTGCTGGGATTACAGGCGTGAGCCACCGCGCCCGGCCAGATAGGGTTTTTTTTAATCCCCTTAAGTAACTTCATGATCTCACAGATGTAAGTATCAATATAGGCAAGGATTTAGAAATGCAGTTATCCAAAACAACCCTTTCCTCTTTCCAGTATGCCATGATAAGGGCTGGATGTGCTATGGTGAGATTGGGCCCCAACTCCAAAGGACCTTGCCCAGGATTTTGTAAATTTCCCTGATGTCTTAGGGCCACCATGACCTTACATCAGTCTCCATTTCGGTGGCAGAAATCATTGCTAAATTCCTCACAAAGCTAGTTTCCCTGGAGAGAGGGAACAAGGGAGAGTTAACCACAAAGATGAATGTCCCTTTGCCCAGCTCCCCAGGCAGCTAGTCTATTCAGAGGACCACATGTCTGAGGACAGACTGGCAGCAATGCTTGTGCTTCTTCCTGTCTGGGGAGCTCTGTGTTCTAGGTCAACGAGGGGTGCGCGGCATGGGAGAGCTGTGGCTCCTCGCCGTGGAAGCCGAGGGGAGGGTATCTAAGTGGGTCAAGACTTTGCTGAGTGTGGGTTGAGCGACATCCGTTTCGGGGGCAAATTGAGCCTTTTCAACAACATTTGGAGTCTATGTGCAGAGTGATGTCACAAGGAGTTCACTGTAGACAGCAGCTGTGGACAGGGCTTGAAGAAGATGGGAAGAAGGTACAAAAAGGGACAAGGGTTCTACACCTGGTGAATCCGTATGAAGTTTGTTGATGCCCAAGTTCAGTGGCTTTCTCTGGGACTGAGAATAGAACTGAGGTTCTTCCTGCTGAACCCTCCTGTAGAGTCCTGTTTCTCTGCAGGCTGAGGCTGCGGATGCTGGAGTCCAAAGAAGACAGTCTGAGCCTGGGAGAATGGAGAATGGAGGTGTTCTTGCCATCACCTGCAGGGTAGAATATGGGTAACAGGGTTGATGGACTGCTAATCCTGCTGTGAATTATGTCTTCCTGTGGAATGGAAGGCTTCCACAGATGGGGTAGAGGCAATCTCAAATATCACCCCTGACCTTCGCCCTCTCACTCCCCACACACACACACACACACACACTCACTCCCGACACACACACACACACACACACACACTAACCACTGAAGTGTCTTGCCAAATGAGTGACAGTATGGTCTGTTCTAGGGACTAAATACAGTTGACACTATTGCTTGGATGGGTGCAACTGGCAAGGACAATTTTTGCAGCTAATGCTGGAAGTGTGGCAATCAGAGAAGCTGCCAGCTGTCTCACTTAAATTCTTAGCTCTCTCGCTCTCTTTTTTTAAAATCGTTTTGCTTACATAATCCACCCCCTTTTTATTTTCTAATTCTCTCCTTGCAAAGCTGGCACCAGAGGGGAAGGGCTGGGGTGGAGGGGGTAGCAATTACACATCGGTTTGGGGAGCATTTACATTTTGCAATTACAATTTAAAAATAAGTCTCGTTAATGATCTCCACGTGTAAACGACAAACCCTAACTGACATATATACTCTCCTGGGCCTGCCTGCCTCTCCCAGAGTCAGGGCTCAGTGGCAGCAGAGGTGCCTAGGGAGACATAGGAGGAGGTTGGGGGCAGGTGTCTGAGGGGTGGCAAGAGCAGGTCATATGGCTTTGAGGTTGGTACAGGACCTGTCTCTTATACACATCTAGATGTGTATAAGAGACAGGTGTTAACTAGGAAGGAACTGTTAATGTTAAAGATGCATTTACCTCTGGTATAGGGCTGGCCTTCCTGGCCAGCGGTTCTCCCGATGCTGCTCTGAAAGTGCAGCCAGGCCTCAGAGCAGCCCCCTCCCCCGACCCCGCCATCCTGACTCCAAGCACAGCCTCACTGAAGTCCAATTAGCAACTCATCCACAAGGAGACATTGATGGGACTGTTTGAGAAGTGTCCGGTCAGACCTTATGGAAGTGCTGACCACCCAGCCTCCATTCACCATCACCGTGGTCCATTTCAAATATTGACAAACAAAATTAATTCGCTTTAATCAAAAAATAAAAATAAGTTGTGCAGCCAAAGCCACCTTGAGGTCACAGGTTGTCCTTTAGTGCTAAGTGCTGCTTTGGGTCCATTCCCCTCCGACTCTTCCTCCCTGCTGCCCTGGGCACCTCCCCACTCACCCTTACCCCCAGTGTCTCTCCGGATCCCAGCCGAAGCCCGCTATCATTTGGATCCGCACGCCTGACAGCTCGACCACTGTGCCCCCTTCCTCTGAGTTTCACCACAGCCTTAATACAAGATGTCAGCTGTGGTCTTCCCAGCACCACAGAAATCACTCACAGGCACCTGCCCGCACTTGGGGGAGAGGGCTGCAGGCACTCCTGCTGTCAGGAAGCCAGACGGGCAACAATAGGGCGTGTTCAACAGTGACCAGGGCTTGGCTACAGTGACTCCGTGGGCCTCAGTGACCACATTGAGAGAGAGTTGAATGGCAAATACAGGAGAAACGGCTGCAAGGGAAGTTACAGAATAGAGGACATCCTGGAGAGGCCTGGAAAGGGGAGAGCAGAGCCCGGGAGCCCCTCTTCTCTGACCACCCCTGCAATTCTTGCCTTCCCTGCTGAGAGCTGCTCTACGCTTTTTTGCAGGTGCTTTGGCTCTAGCAGACAGGAAGAAAATCTGGCCCAGCTGGAAGTAGAAAGAGGGGAGTGACTCTCCTGAGGACCATCTCAGAGACCCCTGGGATCACCTGAACAGTAAGAAATGCTCTTCTGTCCTTTAACATATAGTTACATGTTATCTTTATGTAACAAGGAAAGGTCATCTTTCCTTCTGAAGGCCTCTAGAACCAGCTCCGAACACGAGCTGACACTTAACATGAACAACCTTGAAAGCCAGTCATGGTATGATTATTCCCAGGTCTTTATGTCACCTCCTTAGCTCCTTGAGGAGGAGGGCTGGGTCTTATTCCTGTCTCTTTTCATCTACGTATTCTGTGAACAATAAATGGCTGTTGATACCGATAGGTGGGGCCTTGCTTAGTGTCATGATGATGATCACATTTGTACCACCCTCCGGAGCAAACATTATCACCCATGAATGACCTGGTGGCGGGGAAGGGGGGGTCCTTAAAAATGCAGTTCCAGGACCCTAAAGCCAGAGCTTCTGATGCTTTAAGTCAGGATTAGGACTCAGGAACCTGCACCCCAAGTGTTTTTGAATGGAAACTGCATTCCAGGTGTTTCTGATGAACTCAGAGAAACAGTTCTTTTGAATGTTTAAAGCATTTTGAATAGAGAATCTCATTTAATCCTCTTATCAGATAGGGTTTTTTGTTGTTTTTTGTTTGTTTGTTTGTTTATCTTGACTCACTGCAAGCTC